TGTTTGTGGATATTATGAACATGAGCTCTGCTCATTTAGCGCCTTTTGGCATGCGATTTCACCCTCGAAACTACTCTGGTTGTTGCGAGTCGTTACGTGCACTTTTTCTCTGTGTTAAGTTCTCTCGGGATTTTATGCTTGTTTTTTTTACGTGTTAATGATGATCACCCCACGGTTTGAGTAGTGGTAAATTATTATTGTGAGCGTTGTTTTCTGTTTTGTTTAATATTCCTGTGTTTAATAAATTATTGTTGCTTTCCTACATTGTTGTGAGAAGATTTACAGCTGAACGTGCTTCTAATTACTTGGAAAGTAAATTTGTTATTCCACCATGGAATGCTTACGTTTTTTGAGAATGTCACTGACAAAAAATCTGAGGAGTTTAACTTCAGCAGGTCCTCGCGCCGTTGTTACTTGGGATAAGGTAATCTTTTATTTGAACTTATAAGTATTTGATGAGATTGTTGTGTAATAATTAATCACTACTATCTACAAAGGTTTGCTTTTCGGTGTGGTCAATCAGACGCAGATCCATTATATCGTCATTTTTTTTCTTGCGTATTACTTTTTCTAGTGAGTTTGCTAGCGACTCGAGAACTTTTCTTTCTAAATTTGTGAGCTTGAGAGTAAAAATTTATGGAACACCAATTGTTTTCACTATGATAAAGGAAATCAAGATTCTGCTCAGAAAAATTTACTTTGTGTTGTACACGTGGAATAATATGTTTGAAAGTTCGGATAGTTATACATAGGCTAGCTCAGCTCATAATTTCTTCATTCATAAATTGCCCACTGCCTGACATTCAGGCTGAGCGTATACATCGGAACGAGGAAATTTGGGCAAATCGGGATTCGATTGTTCATCGATTGCCTGAGCATTACTGCAGACGATATTGGGAAAATTTGCTTCGTGATGCAAAGCCAGTTCACTATCGGTAAGCCGTATCTCACTTTTAAAAGGAAAAGATGAATGCGTCTGTCCTACACTTGGATAAATGAAGCTTCGATCCATTTCCTGCATGTTATAAATCAATATACTTTGTTATTATGAATTTAACTGAGAGCGCACAGGAAAATTGCTTTTCTAACGCGGCTAAGCTTTTTACGAGTCAAAAACCCGGCTACTCGTACTGCGAGTGGGTCGCTGTTACACGTAAATTCAAAGGATTTCTCATGAATTATTGATGCTTCTGCACTTTCCAATGTTTTTAGCCCACCGTCATCGCGATTTTATTGGGATCCTGTGAGAAATGTGGAGGTGGAGGCAGAGAACTACCCTTTGCTAGGTGTGTTCAACTGTTCTGTTCCTGTTTTGACCACGTCTGCCTCATACAGGTGTACAAACATGATGTTTTGGAAAGTCGTGTTTAGTTTTACATCCACCAGAAGCTGATGAGGGACTTTGGGGTGGTGAGGGGGTTGTTAAGGGTTGGAAGGAGTCGCGTCCTTATACCAAAAAGAAGGTTCTGCCGAGGTATGCGCAAATGTTTTGTTTGATCTGATCTGCTTAAGTTGACTCCAATTTATTTAGGCACTGGATACCCAAACTATATTTCCCAGCGTTGAAATCAGCCATCTTATATTCAGAGATTCTTGACAAGCACATGAAGGTAGAAACTAGCAGTGGGTCAATGGGTTTTTGTCCAAATTTTTTGGCTTTCAAGATCAATGTTACCGAAAGGGCGTTGCGCTTGATTGATCAGCATTTCGGCCTTGACTATTACATCCTCCGTACTCCTGAGATTGATCTGGCGTCAAAGCTCGGAAACAGGTTTGATAAATGTTATTGATCTTTTACAAACGCTCATGTGCTGTTTTTGAGGCTCAAACGAGAAATGTTACTCACACTTGCAAATGAAAGCTATTATCCTGAAGATGAGGAACGACACAGCTATATCAAAGAAAAGTATGTGATTGTATTTGTGATTTATCACTTCTTTTTTGTCTAGCGTCTTCAGCACCGTGTGTTTTATTACTTTTTTTTCAAAATTTTCACTTAGTTGTGGATGGCAAAAACTTTAATTTAGGCAAAAGTACAAATTTCAAATTCCTGCTGTCATAGACATACGTTATGGTCGAGAGTTTATGATAATCTAGGTATGCTGAATTTGTTATTCCTGCGGAGGAGGCTGAGTGGATAGGTTTGGACTTGAACGAAGCGGCACGGAAGCAGCAAATTCTTGAGGAGGAACAAGCCCCTGTGCCCATGAAGTATAGGTCAGCAAATGCTCTGTTACTTTTGCTCATGTTAACATAATTTTGTGAATCATCAAGCTTGGCCTCCTCATAGCTTTGCTTTTTTTTAAACGTCTGAAAAGTAGTGTTTTTCCATTTGGTTTGAATTTTGAATTCAGATTGTCGAATCAATTTATTCGTCTTTTTCCTAAATGAGGTGATGCCCCTCTGCCTATGTTTTGCTCTTTTTGTGTTATAAAATAATTGATGAAGGCGGAGGAGCCTCTGGGCTGCTATACTGCGTTATTATTTGATGAGAACAGAAAACTATAGGTCATTGATGAATGCAGCTAGAAGTGAATGACATAGATATTTGGTGATGAATCGGAAACTTAAGATAATTATTGTTCAGCATTTTTCAGGTTTAAAAGAGAATTAGTTGCTCGACTACGAGCTGGAACAGATCTAATCACAAACGAGGAAGAGTTTGCCCCGAAGACCGAAGAAAGCAAGTTTGGTGAACGCTTACTTGGTAAATATCTGAACCCTATTGCCAGACGATTCCGAAGTTAGACGTCTTTCCTTAGAATACAGCGTTCTTAGTGATACAACATCTCAACCTTATACCATTAGAACCATATTTATGTTACCTTTAGGCATATAGTTTGCTAGTATCACGAGAGTCTGAGTGCATATTTCTGTAGTGCTGTAAATAATCTGTATTAATCAATTAGATTTAGTTAGGTGTACATCATTGTTTTTGTTTTGAACTGTTATTTGTTTGTCTACTTAAAAGGTTCATG